GCTCAGGACCAAATGGTGTCTGTTTCTCTGCGGGTTTGCCTTCACATTTCCTACACAAGTAACTACGTATTTTTATAAGCCATACTAAATTGTCTTTGGACTAGTGGAATAAAGGTGACAGATAAAAGCCAGGTGTGATGGTGGATGCCTGTATTCCCAACACTTAGGAGCCTGCAGCAGAATTATGATTTCCAGGCCAGCTTGAGCCACATAAAAGACCTTATCTCAAAAAAAAATTAAAGTATGATTGATAAAGAGAAAGGAAGAAAGGAGAAAAGAAAATGAGAAAAATACGGAGGGAGTCCATTCGTGATTGTGTGCATGGCGTGGGGGTGGAGGAGTTCCTGAACAGTTCTTCCCAAAATCTGTCCTGGTAAAATGCACCACTGAAGGAACAGAACGAAAGCATCACATCTCTGGCCAGAGTCCCATCTGAGTCCGGCAGGACTCTGTTCGGCCAAAGAGGTGGCTGATGGAGCCACCAGCTTAATGAGGTAGAGTGTCAAGACACACAAGTGCCTGCAGTGCCCACAGGCTCCGTTGCTAAGAAGCTGGCCTGCACTGTGCACTCTTCCACACTTTTTTAAAATTCAGGAATAGAGAAAACTATAAAGATCCGAAGTACTCAGCTCGATGGCTTTTGACAGTCTCAGACTCATGTTGCCCGTTCATGAATGGGAGACAGCCATTGTGTATCACCCCACGGCACCCCCTTTCCTCTGAGTCCTCTGCTATACTCATCTCCATCTTTTTGACAATATCCTTTCTCTCAGGTGTGAGATGGCATCCAACTGTGATTTTAATTTTTCTCCCACTGGGTTGTGTTCTTACTATTGAATTGTCTGAATCACATTTTGGGCATGAACCCTTAGCAGATACACACTTTGTAAATATTTTCCTCATTCCATGGATTATCTTTTCATCCTGTTCACTGTCTCTCTGTCTGTCCAGAACTCTTTAGTTCGATGTAATGCCATTTGTCTATTTCTGTCTGGTTGTTTGTGCCTTTCAGTTGGCGTCCAAAGAAATCATTGTCCTAGCCTAGGATCATGGAGACTTTGCCCCATAAGTTTTTCCTAGGTTTGCAGTTTCAGTTCTTGGGTTGAAATTTTTAATCCCCTTTGAGTAGATTTTCATTCATAGTGTGAGGAAAGGGTCTAATTTTATTTTTCTGTACATAGCTGTACAGTTGTTCACATTTTATGGAAAACACCGTCCTTTACTCTCCTGTATGTTCCTGACACCTTTCCTGAAGATTGACTGTAAATGCATGGCTGTCTCCCTGGACTCTGTTCTATCCCATTGGTCTGTATATCTGCTCTTGTGCCAGGAGCATATTGTTGCGATCACTATAGCTTTGTGATATATTTTGAAGCCAATAGTGCAATGCCTCCTGTTTTGCTCATTTGGCTCAAGATTGCTTTGGCTATAGTGAACCTTTTAAGCTTCGATACAAACTCGAGGATTGCTGCCTTTATTTCTATTATAAAAATCATTGGCACTCTCATGGCAATTGCACTGAAAATGAGGAGCAACAGGCTAGTGTAGACATTTAACAGTACCAAGCCTTCCAGTTCATGAACACAGCACGCCAAATTCATTTATGTCCCTTTTTATTCCTTTCATCCTTACATGTGATAAATCTCAGTGTACAGGCCTTTCACCTCCTTGGTTAATTGTGGGGTTTTTTGTTGTTTTTTTTTTCTTTGGTTTTTTTCTGGTTCTGTGACTGAACCTGGGGCCTGGTACATGCTGAGCCAGCACTCAGACACTGAGCTGCATTACCAGCCTGAGATTTTTTTTTCTCAATTTCATTTTGGACAGTTGTTATCACGATTTCTTTTGATGACCAAGGTTTATTAATTTTGAAGTAATTTGTCAACTTCCTTTTTCATGTTTAGTGCTTGTTATGCCCTGAGAGTTTTTGGTGCTCCAAAACTATGAAGACATTTCCCTTGTTTTCTTTCAGAAACTACAGGTCTAATTTTATACATTTTGACTATAATCCATTTCACCATTTTTATTTGAATATGGGTTATTAATGGGAGTTGAGGCTCACTCACTCACTCACTTATAGATGACCAATTATCCCAGTGCTATTCATTTAAAAAACTGAGATAAGTTGGTCCCCAGTCAAAATACCTGCTTATCATAATCTTTGTAATAATACTGTAGTGCTAGATGCTTACATATTAGGAAATTGGTGCTCCATAGATGGGATGTCCCTTAGATGATGCACATGACTCAGACCCAGCCTCCATATCTGTAAAGGCATGCCTTTGGAAATCATGCCACATAAATTTCTTCCTTCAAAGACTAACCCATCCCCTTCTTCCCTAGGAAGACTTTCCCATCGCATGTAGTCTTCCTCAACCTCACTTTCATAAATTCCAGTTGCATTCAGACAACTAATTTAATCACAGTGACAGTTGTTATACCAATTTGTATCATTTCCCACTGGTTCCTTTATGTTAACCCTCAAAACTGGGTTTCCCACTCCCAACAACCTTATTTTGATGTATCAGAAGCCAAATCTGGATGTGATTGTCCTTTTTATCACCAGACACAGTGGCACGTGCATAGTAGATACTCGATACAGACTGCCTCTGGGTGGAGAGTAAGTGTTCTCTTAAACCATGAGTCCTGTGCCCTCGTGCCTTGTTCAAAGTACTGACTCACTTTAGTTCCCACCAGATCCTGCCTCCATCAGCCTGACAGTGACCGTTCTCTCACACAGAGAGCTCCCGAGGACATGGGGCAGACCCTTCACTGCCTCAATCTTCAACCCCAGATGTGTTATCCCATTGACAGAAGAGCGGTCAACTTTGAATCAGAAGAGCATTGACTTCAAGAGGATTATAAACTGCCAAATGAGCAAACTAAGGTTAATCACATTCTGAAAAATGAAGTGATTTTTCACCCACAACACAGCCTTTCCAAAAGCCCCTAGACGGTTTACTATTTGGAGAAATTCAGGACAGAAGTCTAACACTGGGCTGATTGTGCAAAATTGTAGGATTTTATTGGGATAATTCCCCTATGTACATACAAGTTATAAACTAAGGAAACAGACAATGAACTATTACAGAAGGGAAAACTTGTGGTTGAACCATTAGATCTCCTTTAACCCCTGTGATACAGCAAGAGGAGACAAAAAGAAGACATGAGTTTAAGGCCCAGCTTCACACTTGGGAGCCATGTATCAGTCCCTTAACGTATCCACAGGCTGGAACCTCCATCGGGTTTCCTGCTCTTGGGGATACAGGCACCTCATGGACTCTTTAGACATCCCCAGCTCTTCAGGACAGACAGACAAAACTGTACATCCAAGTCACTGTCCAAAGTTGTACCCGCCAACAACATATGCTACATTTCATACGAGATTAAGGATTTTTCAAGGAAAGGATGGTCGTGTGTTACTTTCACCCATGAGGCTGTATACAGAATCTGAATCGTGTGAATCCCACAGTTCTTCTTATCCTGATTCTGCCTCTCTCATGAGGACCAGCAGAGACAGTGTGGGCAAGCTGCCTCTTAAACAGAAAGTTACCAGGACGCTACAGCTGTCACAAACAAGAAGTATATAGAGTTCTCAGACACAGAGGTGTTACAAGAGGACTTCAGACTAGACTGGAAAGTACTTAGGTGAGGGGGTTCCTACAGCATCCCACAGAGTCATTCTAAAGAACTGAAAAGGCCGATCTAGCCAGAAGATGGGGAATTATTGAGAGGAGCTGCTTGGAGGGAAGCCCTCACTGGAGGCTTAAAGCACATCAAGAACTGTGTCTCGGAAGCAGCAACATTGGAGGACAGTGATGTCTGAGAGTTTGAAAAGCCCCAGGCCTTGGGCCTACTCTAGGCTGACATGACACAGAGACACAAGGATCCAAACTAATTCTTCAAATTTCCCTGGTTTTCAGGAGAGCTGAGGAGGCAGTTTCCACCTATCCCAAGGGCACTGCCAGCAGGCAATCATGAGGTGGCTGCAGTGGACACTGGAGGCCCCAGGGCAGAGAAGGAAGACTGCCTCTAGAGGAATGTAAGGGGATGGGTCATAAAGACAGAAAGCTGCTGAAGGATACAGAATGTGGAAAGCAGGGCACTCCAGATGCAGTAGCCAAGGCAAAAGGAAGTGCTGTTTCTGCTCATGAGACTCCTCTGCTGTATGGGGACAGTCAGACAGTCCTGTGTCCACCAACAGAACCCGGTGTCACAGAGCTGGGGAACCTGGGGCCGGCGAATTCACAATCAGGAAAAAGATTGTCTACATTTTCCTTTACCTAAATTACTAGAATCAGTTCTCAGCTTCACCTTTTAGAAGCAGAAAGACCTCTGTAATTAGGGACGAGTCTCACCATATCAGGACCTGTGAGGAATTTATGTGGTCGAATCAAATCAGTGTATAAGCATTCCTCCAAAAGTCTCCTAAGGTTGTTGCAATTTTTAGACTCATGTGAAGAAAATAAGAGCAACGGGGAGCAATTAACAAGAAGTCAACTACTCACACAAGTGTAAGGAAGCATGGATAATTCACCAACCTCCAAGAAGCCATATAAACCACTGCCCATCGCTTATTAGGGCATCACCACAGTGAAGGCCCTCTCTGCCAAGCAGCTCACATACAGCAGTTCATTTAATTCTCCAAAACACTATGGTAATAATAATAATATTGGCAAGATACACAAACCATCTCATATAGTGCTCAGATCAAGCCTTTGAGGGTTAGTACCCATTTTGTAGATAAGCAAAGAATGTAAGGACACCAAATAACTTCTCTGTGGCTGTATAGCTAGTGTGAACCAGAAAATGAACACAAATTCCCAATCCCACGTCCGTGCTTTAAATTTGCTAGCACCTCCCCCACATTGATGAGAAAATTGGACCTTGTAGAAGACGTTAAATAATGTGAAGGAACACATGTGGCTAGTGAGTGGAAGATCCACTCTTCCCATCCTCAAATCCCATACCTTAAACTTGGCATTGTATTAAATCAGCTCTAATGGTTTGATTTATATGGGAATTTTATTTGAGAGTGTCATAAAATTTGACATCAGGAAAACCCCAGGGCCTCAAGCCAACATCCATGTCATGGACACAGGGATGCTGGCTCCCGGTCCTGAGTTCCCAGAGCCGCTCTGGCCCACCATTGCCAAGCGAAGTCTGGCAGCTTTCCTTCACTTCTGTGAGCTGGCTGCCTCATGCCCTCCAGCATCTCCCTCTTCTGCTCAAGCTGCTTCTCAGATGGGAGTAACTCCTGCTGTATGCAACGAAAACAATCCTTCCTGGATCTCAAGGCGGCAGAGAAGATGCATCATTTGATCCAGACACTTGGCTTCAGAACCCACTGCGAAGACCAAGGTGACTGGCAGGGAAGAGGTGCTGAAGAAAGCATGTTTGAGAAACAAGAAGAAGAGGGGGTACAGTCTCGTTTTCCATGTATCTGCAGTTTTACACCCTGAGTCCTCTGTCCCTTGCATGGCTACATTTTTCATAATTATTCCTCATTTAAACGTACAGATTTATCATCTTGCGGTAAATAGTTCAGCTGTCTGGAACAGGATGACAATGAATGCAAGCCCTTCCAACTTGATCCTCACTGCTGGTAACCATAGTTGAGAATCACTGGTGTGGAGGGCACGCCAAACCAGATTGCAGCTCTCTCGGCATTCCATGGGTACGGAGTAATTTTGGAAAATGCTAATCAAGGGCACAAACTCAGGTCCAGGTCATATTGGCAGGCTCTGCACTATGCCAGGTAGTGCATTAGATACATCCTATGCATTATCTCATTGATGTCAAGTGGGCACTTGTAACAAATTGACCTAACTGTATTGAACTGAATGACAGAGCCACACCAAAGACCATGTGGAAGAAAGGAAAAGAGCAAAGTAATCTTAGAAACCAGATCTCAACCCAATTCAGTCAGACCAAAGACAAAAGGGTGTACATTGAACACTGACTGTTATTGGCAAGCTGTGTTCTTTTAGGGATATTGACTTAGCAGTTCAGAAACAACTGTGTGTGTGTGTGTGTGTGTGTGTGTGTGTGTGTGTGTGTGTGTGTGTGTGTGTGTGTGCCTGCCACTGTTGAAGATAAACAGAAGCAAGGTTTGTGAGAACCAAGAACTCTCTGTTAGAGAGAGACTCTACGATTAAAGAAAGAGTGATGGTTGATGCTAGGGTGAAACCAAAGGTAGCAGTGTGAGTCTGTGGCTATTTTTGATATTGTGATAAAATATACAAACAGAAAACACACTGTCAAAGCCCTTGTTAGGTGTGACTCAAAACATTCACACCATACACCTTAAACTGCTGTGTAATCATCATTACTACCCACTTGCAGAATCCTTCTGTTATTTCCAACTGAAATTCTTACCTCTAATAAAGGGGGTTATATAACACATGCCTTTTATGTCTGCCTTATTTCAGCTTACATAATGTTTTCAAGGTCCATCCATGTTGTAGCATGTATTTGAATTTTATTCCTATGGAAAGGGCCAATTAATACTAGAGGCCTTTCAAAATGGTATGTAGAAAACTACTACTGTGGAAGCACCCTAAAATGTATATGTATATAAAAAGTTCAAGTGGATTTACCATATAATGGAGGATACTCTAGCTAGACACCCTATCTTACCAAATAAAAACCCTAGTACCAGATATGGATTACCTCTTTTTGAGTTGTTGGCCAATGAGGTCTCATAGAGACCCCCAGAAAACATTATAGGCTCTTGTCAATTCTATTGATTATCCTCTGGAACTTGACAGTAAGACCCTATTGCTGAAAACATCACATATTTGAGACATAGAACGTGGTGAAATCTAGCTGGTACTCAACTGGAAACTTCATCCCTATTTTCTAGCTTTCATAGTGCTAGAAGGTGATATGTACACTACCAGAGGAGAAAAATAATAATCAGTAACCCAACTGTGAACTCTGCAAGCTACAATAATGACCTGCCTAACAAAATATGTCCACTGGTGCAAATAGTAGCACAAATGTTATGGAAGTAACCAACCACTCTTTTTCTTTATTTTAATTTTTGAGATTATAATTTAATTACATTTCTCTCTTCCCTTTCCTCCCTCCAAACCACCCCCTCAATATTCCCCTCATCAATCTTTTTTAAAGGATGTAAGGCCTGCTGCCCAATATGAAATGCATTTAAGAGGCCAAGTACTATATCTAAATAGGTTATGTGCCTTAGAGGAAAACCTACCATTATTCTGCTAAATTGACATAGCATTAAAATGACTCCTAATGATTTATTGCTATACCCATAGATCAGTGCATCTTTCAACTCTCATCAGGGTAACCTCTTATAGGCCTTCAACTTGTCAATATGCAGTGAGTAAGAGACTTCAGAGTGTTCAGGCCTAAATGGGACACCTGTATCACACTCCTCTGTAGTTAGTTGTCTTTATTCTTTGGGGGCCCGCCACCCAGCTCCCAAATAAATACACAGAAACTTATTCTTACTTATGAATGCCTGGCCTTAGCTTGGCTTATTTCTAGCCAGCTTTTCTTAAGTTATCCCATCTACCTTTGGCCTCTGGGCTTTTTCCTTTCTCTAGTGTATATTCTTTCTTACTCTATGGCTGGTTGTGTGGCTGGGTGACTGGCCCCTGCTGTCCTCTCTTCTCCTTTTCTCGATCCTCCCTTTCTCTTCTTCTCCTATTTATTCTGTCTGCCTGGCAGCTATGCCTATCCCTCTCCTGCCTCGCTAATGGACATTCAGCTCTTTATTAGACCAATCAAGGTCTGGAGAGATGGCTCAGAGGTTAAGAGCACTGGCTGCTCTTCCAGAGGCCCTGAGTTCAATTCCCAGCAAGCACATGGTGGCTCACAACTATCTGTAATGAGATCTAGTGCTCTCTTCTGGTGTACAGGCATACATGCAGGCAGAACACTATACATAATAAATAAATAAATCTTTAAAAAAAAAAACTAGACCAATCAGGTGTTTTAGGCAGGCAAAGTAACACAGCTTCATAGAGTTAAACAAATGCAACACAAAAGAATGCAACACGTCTTTGCATCATTAAACTAATATTCCACAGCATAAAAGAATGTAACATACCTTTAACAATGTTCCATAACACTCCTCTCAAGGCTCTAAGATCTATATGGAGTGGAGGGACAGAAAGACTGTAAGAGCAGGAGGTGGTGGATAGCATCAAGGAAACAGTGTTTCCCAGACACAACAGGGCAATCACATATATGAATTCAGAGCAATTGTGACAGCATGTATAAGCCCTGTGAAAGTTTAAGCTAAACAAAAATTTTAAGATGGAGGAGGGAAGGTAGCCACGAAGCCCCACCCCTAGCTAAGGAGCTATTGGCATTTGGTTGCTAATAGGAGAGGAAAAGGCATCTTTCCTCAATGGTGTGTATGACATCTGGTTTATTGAGCACAACCCAGGGTAGACCCCACACCCAGACCGCACAAACTGGGCTTGATAGGTTTTAAAATGAGAGAAAGAGAACATGGAGTTGGTGGGTAGGGAGATGGGGGAGGATCTTGGAGGAACTGAGGAAAGGGAATGAATATGGTAAAAATATCTTGTGTGACATTCTCAAATATGACAAGACATTATTTTAAAGGGTTTCATTCCTTATGTCTGGGTATTATTCTGCTGTCTGTATATGTACTTTTATTATCTATTCCTCTACTGAAGGTCATTTGAGCTGTTTCCGTATTTTGGATGCTGTGAATAAGGCTGCTATGAACATTTGACTATGAATGTCACACCAATGTCTAATTCATACACAGTAGCAATGTATATAATGTGGTGATTTTATGTATGTTGTTTTGCATAATCGCCATACTGTCTTCCACAATGGAGACACTATTTGACAGTTCCCAGAGCACTCCGAGGTCCCAGTATCTGCTCATATTCCCAGATGCTTTCATCTCCAGCTTAGGTAATGCTGGCCATCCTGCTGGTGTGGTACAGAATTTCATGGAGGTTTTGAATGCATTTTTCTAATGGTTGCTGATGATGAGTATCTTCTTACCAGCTACTTACTATTATATTAGGAAAATGTATTCAGTAATGACAGCCTTTGATGCACAAAAAAAAAACATATATAAGTGAAGTCTAACTTATCTGTTTTTTTTCTTCTGTTGCCCATTTTTCTTGTGTTAGAGCCAAGAAATTGCCAAACCATGAACTTTCCCCCTTATGTTTTTTTTTCTACTAAAAGTTTTGTAGTTTTAGCTCTTGTATTTGGATATTGACTCCATGTTGAGTATATGACATAAGGCAGGGTTTCAGCTTTATTATTCTCTTGCATGTGAATATTCAGTTCCCCAGAAACATATGTTGAAAAGACTGTCTTACTTCTTGAACGGTCTGGACACCCTTGTCAAAAATCTTTTGACTACGTATGTGAAGGCTTGTTTCTGAGCCTGCTACTCTATTCCACTGGCCTGTGTGTCTGTCTCCAGGCCAGTGTCATGCATTTTACTGTCGCTTTGTGTAGCTAGAGTTTTCCTGCCTGGCCCACAGTCAGGACAAATCTCTGTCACCCGCCAGTCCCACAGCCGCTCAGACCCAACCAAGTAAACACAGAGACTTATTTTGCTTACAAACTGTATGGCCATGGCAGGCTTCTTGCTAACTGTTCGTATAGCTTAAATTAATCCATTTCCATAAATCTATACCTTGCCATGTGGCTCATGGCTTACCGGCATCTTCACATGCTGCTTGTCCTGGTGGTGGCTGGCAGTGACCCCTTCTGCCTTCCTGTTCTCTCTTTTCTCCTCTCTGTTAGTCCCGCCTATACTTCCTGCCTAGCCACTGGCCAGTCAGTGTTTTATTTATTGACCAATCAGAGCAATTTGACATACAGACCATCCCCCCAGCACAGCCAAGTGCAGACCATCTCAGACACCTGCACTCAGACTCGTGGTCCTAATCATCCTCTATGCGGACCTGCTGGGTAAAGCCACGAGGAACCCTAGAACGGGCTCTCACAGGACATACAGAACATCCCACAGCAGCTTTGTAATGTATTTTTAGGTCAGTTAGTGTGCTCACTCTAGTTTTGTTATTTTTTCTTGGAATTGGCTATTCATAATCTTTAATAGCTCTACATGAATTTTGAACTCCCTTTCTATTTCTGTAAAAAAAATACCATTTGAGATTTTGACAGGAATTGTATTCAATCTGTGAATCACTTTGGAAAACTATGGATACCTTACTATGAAGTCTACCAATTGTAAATACAGAATGTCTTCATATCTATTACTATCTTCATTGATGTCTTTCAGCAGCATTTTGGAGTTTCTAGTGTAAGAGTCTTTGAAACACTAGAAGAAAGAATTTTGTCCTCAGGGGAATCTTTGCCCTGGAGGAGATGGGAATGGGAGGGGACTGGGGGGAAGGCAGGGGGGGGGAGGAGAGGAGAGAACAAGGGAATCTGTGGCTGATATGTAAAATTAAATTAAATTACAAAATTTAAAAAAAATTTAGGCTAGCATGGAAAAAAAAAGAAAGGATTTTGGAAAATTTTATCAGAATGTGATCAGTGTTTGAGTAGATAACTTTATCCTGATTTAAACATTGTATAATGTATACATGTATCAAGACATCACATTAATTCAAGTTGTTGACACTTATGACTTAATAAATCAGTTAAGTAATAAATTTAGTTTTTAAAATATCCAAAAGATATTAATAAATAAATTAGTATTTTGCTTAATTAGTAAATGTATTCTTGAGAATTTTATTCTTTTTGATGTTGTCATAAGTAGAATTTGTTTTCAAATTATCCATTGTCAGTGTATAGAATTATAGAAGTATAGCTCCAGGATTCATTGCCAGTTTTTTTGTCCTTTTGTGCAGTCTTCAGAATTTTCTTTATATAAAGTCATGTTATCTGTGAATGCAAGAAAAATTTACTGTTTCCTCTCCAACTTGAATACTTTATATTTCTTTTTCCTGTCTCATTGCTTGGGCTCCAACTTCCAATATTATTTGAATGGAAGAAGCACTTCACCCTAAGGGAAATGCCTTCAGTTTTTACACCAGTGAGATGATGAGATTCTACAATGGGAAAGGTATCTGTATTTAAAAAAATCTGATAAAAGTACTAATAATAATCTATATTTTGTTAGTACTGTACCAACATTGTTTTCTTAGCTTTTGTAATTATAATTATGTAAATTGAACATTGGGAAAGCCTGATAAAAGGTATTTGGAAGCTGTCTGCACTAATTTTGCATCTCCTTTGTGAGCCCACAAAGATTTCCAAGTGAAAGACTGCTTTTATAATATATGATATTGTCGTTGTTCCTGGCTGCCCACTGGAACTTGAACATATGACCCTTTGCTCAAGACACCACATACTTTTATCACTAGACAGAGAAAAAAATCAAGCTGAACCGAACTGGAAGCTTCCTCCCTACTAGGGGATGCCTTTCTAGTACTGGAAAGGGATATGCAGGCTGCTGAGAGAGAGAAAGGACATTAACAGTTTTGCCCAACTATGAACCTTCCGAGCAATAGTAACAAGCTGCCATTGAAGATATGCCCATTGGTACAATACTAGCATGTGTTATGGGGTTAATCAACTACTGGCAACTCCACATAGTTAAAAGGGAGGTTTATTTTGTGGGGTAACTCACAAGTGAAGGGATAGGTAACAGGGTCTAGGAAAGGTATAGTGCAGTCTGGCAGTGTTCTCTGGAGAACTCTGCTTGGTCTACCTCCAGCGTCCAGGGTCCAGGAACCAAGAGAGCTGGTGCGTCTAGATCTCGGGTCTTCAGGGTCCTCTCTCGGCCCTGCCTTGTAGGCGTGACAGTTACCGAAGCCTCAGTGGGGGTTGGAACTTCCAGATCAAAGCTGGAATGGCTACCCACTACATCAACTGCTTTCTGATTAGATTTGAGGTCTACTCTATAGGAGGACTCATGCCTGATATTGTACATACTATTAACCTGATCAGTAGCCGTGGCTGAGAATGTCAGAGGTTCCGGGGTGGAACTTGATACTATAGTTTGAAAAATGGGCGTGTTGTTAAACTGTCATCTAAGTACTCGTGTTTATATCCGTAGATTAGAGCCGCACTCACCCTTGATCAGAGAAAGTTCTTACCCTTGGGCGGTGGTTAAAAAAGTGACTCATGAGTGATCAAAGTGACTAGAGTAAGTGACAATGAAGTCCTCAGCCCTGAATAAGACAGCTCGTACCACCAAGGCGCAGGAAACACCACAGAAGAGGGCAGAAGGAATGTAAGAGCCAGGGGGATGAGAACGCGTGCCGCAAAAAGTCATCGTGTGGGCGCGACAGCCGTTGCGTTCAGGAACTCAGAGCACCTGTGCTCACATGCATCAGCCCTTCGCAAGGTTGGACCGTGGACATGTCATGGGCCTGTGAGGAGCTACAGGCAGTTAGTGGTTGTGGGGAAGAGGTGTCATTTTCCACAGTGGTGAGGCCACTGATGAGCTGCCCAGCCCCCAGTTAATCCCCCCAACCCTGCTCATGCAAGCATCTCTGGGTGAACTCAGTGGGTCACACACAGAAAGGAGACAAGAGAGTAGAATGGTGACCTGGAAAGAAGAAGCATTTCAACAGCAGAGGAGATAAGGGTGGGCAAGGGGGGTAGGAGTAAACGTCCTTAAGTACATTATGAAACTGTCGGAAATAAAAACAAGTCAATATTTAAAGTCCAAAAAGATGCTTTGATATGCAAAAAAAAAGAAGGTAACACGTTGTGAACCTTTTAGGTCTTGAAAGATCTTTTCGGGAAGATGGGCTGTTGCATTCCTCATGACTTAGTTCTCTCAGGAGGTGTTCAGCACTGTGCCACTCTGCAGTGGGAAGCTCCTGAAGGGAATTGCTTACTCGGTGGGTTTAGGAAGAACCAAGCACTGTGCTTTGGCACATCCAAGTTTTCACTGGAGGAATTTCTCAGGTGGCATATCTGAATTTATACTGAGGGGAGTCCTCAAGGGCAATTTGCTTCATATCGGAAACATGAAGGCAGCTTTCCAGGAATGGTTGTGAATATTAACCAATGCCATAGTTAAGAAAGAACTTCATCCATGGTAGGTACTCAAGAAATACCCTTTCTTCTATCACATTGGGAACATTTTCGAGCACAAAAGGAAAACAAGACACGGTACCATCCCCATCCTCATGCATATCAGGACAAAATGCAAGTGTGTGAAATGGTTACCAAGAACACTGTCCATTCTGGTCTAACCAGATGTTTAATTCACTCCAGAGCAGCAGTGTGCCCCAGAGCAAAGTGCATACGAAGGGCATGGGGGAGGGGCATGCATGTACAGCAGGCCCAGGCCAGGCCAGGCTCCCGATGCAGACAGAAATAGGGACACAGCTAAGAAGAGAAGAATTAGCCAGCGGAAGAGGAAACACCCTGACCAGGGAGAAGAGAGACAGAGTCCTGGGGATGAGGAGAGGCAGGCTGAGTCATGCTTAGCCCAAAGGCAGGAGAAATAGGGCTGGCTGGGAGTAAACATGGGACTCAGGGAGGCGACCTATGTTGCAGGGTGGACTGTATTTACCAGTCACGGAAGTGTTTTAAACAGAGAAGCCAGATGATGGGACCATAGCCCAGTCCTTCAGGCTCAGTTCTGGTACAGAAAACCACAATCACTTTGGCAGCTTTCAGTGGAAAGAATGTTGAGGTGCCTATAAAATCACCAAAGGGCCCGAGGACTGAACTATGGGCTGTTCTGCTGGCATCGGGGGACTGAGAACTGATGAAGCTTTTTTGGCAAAGCGGCCCGATGGCAGCTTTCAAAACTGTGAATACATATACGGTTGACCTAAAAATTCTAGTCTAGAGGAAAAAAATTCAATTCTATTCTACTCTAGAAAAAAAAATTATATAGGAACACAATAATGAATATGCAGGGTTTTTCAAAGGACGCTTATCTAAAGAAAATTACATATTTAAATGAGAGGTTAAATAACGTATAAGGTAAAACATTACAGAATCAATAATGGAATATGTGGAGGGGGCTGAGGAAGTCAGCAAGGGCTTGCCGCACAGACAAGGAATCTTGAACTCAGATCTGCCTCACCTATGTGAAACAGTTGAGTTCCCTGGGATGCCTGTAATTCCTGCACTGTGGACGCAGACATGTGCCCTGGAGCTCTGGCCAGGCAGCCTAGCCATACCGTTGAGCTCCAGGTTCAAATGAGAGACCCTGTCTCCAGAATAACAAACTGAAGTAATTGAGGAAGATCGCCAACATTGACCACTGGCCTGGAATTTTCTAGGAGGGCAGAGTCCATTGATCTCTGGTTTGGAATTAAGGCAAATTCCACAAAGAACATACGGCACTTTTATGGGAAGATCTTCAGGATTGCTAATTGGAGGGTGGGGGGAAGGTTCAAAAAAAAAAAATTCCAGAGCCAGGAATAGTGACGCATGCCTCTAATCCCAGAACTTAGAGCCTGGGGCCGAGGGATTTAGACAGTTTGGTAGCTGCCTGGACTACACAGGGAGAGCCTGTCTGAGAAAAATGAACAAACAAAAATTTAAAATGCACCTCTACAGCATGGCCCATTTCTGTGTTTTAGAGGTGTATGGATTGGAGAAATGAAAATCCCTGCCCACACTGCTTTCGCATGGGGCAGGGATCAAAGGGGCTTTGATTGAGGAGGTCGCTGCATCTTCCTCTGGAAACCCCTGCAGTACTTGGCTCTGACTTGGGGACTAAGGTCAGTCACTGGTCACCTCTTAAAATGAGCTGAAGAAAACGAGCCTGAGGCCGTCATGGCAGCACACACCTTTAATCCCAGCACTCTGGAGGCAGAGGCAGGCGGATCTCTATGAGTCTGGAGACCAACCAGGCCAGTTTCTTGCGGTTTTGCTGATGTGAGGGAGGGCCAATGGGGAGCAGGGATTGCACTGTCTTTGGTGTGCCTGCTATGATTGAGGTTGTACCTATATAATGTGGGCGGTTGATATGTAGACAAGGGATAGAAAGCCTAGTTTGGAAAACATGGGGGGAAAGGAGAGGCTGAGCATCCAGGGACACATAAAACCCACCCAGGTAGGACACTCTCAGGTCATTCCCAGCAGGATCAACATCACCCAGCTCTAGCCACCATAGCTCATCTTCAGTGGACTCTGCACTCCCTGATAATTCCAAACCCTATGAGATGTCAAGAAAAGGAGTGAAGAACAGGGAACACCTGCCCCCATTTGGGAATCACCCAGGACCAGCTCTGTCTGAGACATAGATATTCCACAATAAGGAAGCATGCTCCAGTGCTCAAGAGGCCAACAGTAACAGTGACATCCATGCTTGGACAACTCTGTGTGTCTCATTCGGTTGTTAAGCTGGTCCCTCACACTGCCTACCCACATACCAAGGTCTAGTAAATTCATTTGCCTCTGACTTTTTAAAATATATATATATATTTACTGTGTGTGAGTGTGTCTGAGTGCATTCATGTGCAGCACATGCAATCAGGAGCCCACAGAAATTAGAAGGTTTTGGATGATCTAGAGCTGGCCACCAGTGGTTAAGAGCAGATATGTGGGTGCTGGGAACCAAACCCAGGTCCTCTGCTCCACCAGTAAGTACTTTTGTTAGACCCCAAAAATCTAGGATCTCAAGTGGGCACCCGAAGAACCCAGACTCCAGTCCAGTTGATGCAACAGCACGAGGTTTATTGTTGCGGCTGTACAGTCAGGCAAACTCAGCTCCCAAGAGCAAGAGTCGCATCGTACTGTAGTCACATAGGTGCTTTTAAAGGAAAAACCCACAAAAGCCATAAGGTTACAATTCCCATACAATTTCGTTTCACAAGATCATGGTCTGATCACAGAGTGGGTAGTCACGTCCACATGTACATTCTTCCTGAAACCTCAAGGGGGGTATCAGGGCAGGAATGGAGTTTACACAAAGGTCACAGTGGTCCTTCCTGGAACACTTGCAACTATCCCAGGCACAGTTGAGCACATCTCTTAACAGAAATCTTTTTACATTGTTACAGGGGTGGTTGAATAATGATTGAGTCAGCTTGCCCTTGGAACTAGATTTTTAGTTTCTCATTTCCTGGGGCTTGGGGGTGTAAGCCTATAGGGTTAGGGTCTTTCACTTTTAACCACTTAGCCATCCTCTCTAGCCCCACCCCCTTGCCTGTGATTTTTGAGTACTTTGAGTCAGCTCAGCACTGTAGGAGGGAGGTTCCCAGAGAGGAGGCAGCCTCACTTCCGAAGGGGACGCCACAGTGAAGAAACAGCCGAGGTAATGTGTCCCATCCCAGATGCCCAGGCGTAGCATGGGACCCTATCCCGGATACATCCAGGCATGAAGAAACCGAGCAGGGGGTGGGGGAGTGTCGGTGGCTGCTTCAGTGGACCCAGGCTTATAAGCCAGAAATGAGCTAAAAGGCCTGGACTGAGGAGACGAAAAAGCAAATTCAATTGAGGTTCATAAAACTTACGAAGCTTATGCTGGAAGTGCCTCGGCACCTGGCTCCAGAGCCTTCCATAAATGACACAAGGACAAAGAGGTGAGCAGGGGAGAGTCCCTTCTCCCACAGGGAGTGCAGTGGAGGATGGCCCCTGCAGGGGGCCGCGGCACTGGAAATCAGGGCCGTGGCACTGGAAATCTTGGGGGGGGCCTAGTTCATCTTAGTTTCTTCATCCATTTGTCTGTTTGCGGGTAGGTGGTACTGGCGCAGTTTTTTACTGGGAAAGGCAGGGCTCAGAGGGGGTCAGTTTCCACACTGCCAGAGCAGTTCACAAACACCACCAGCCCCTCTGTACCCCATCCACCCACCCACCCACCCCCACCCTGTTGCTAGAGTTTTTTTCTCTGGGTCCCGCCAAGCCCTGGCAGTCCTGTAGCCCACTTATAAAATAAACATACAGACGCTTATATTATTTAAACTGCTCAGCCATTAGCTCAGGCCTACCACTGACTAGCTCTCACTCTTATACACAACCCATTTCTGTTAATCTTTATGTCGCCACGCATTCCGTGGCTTTACCTGCTGCCTTTACATCATGCTCCCTGGACGGCAGGCTGGCATCTCCTCCTCTCCATCTTCCTGTTCTCTCAATTCTCCTCTCTGCTAGTCCCACCTATACTTCCTGCCTGGCTACTGGCCAATCAGCGTCTTATTTATTAATCAATCATCCACAATACCCCCCACTTCTCTATCTGACCTCCTTATCTGGAAGGAATGATCTGATCTATGGGAAATCTCTAGGCAGGTGTGGACACAGTGCAGACTTTGGAGTCTCCATGTGCTGGTGGCTGGGAGAGGCTGAAGGTGATTTTTTCCAGAGCTCTTTCCAAGGCACAGTGGGAGGTAAGTAAGGAACATGCAACTCTACTGTTAGCTGCAAGACATCACGTCCCTCTCCCAGAGCCCACGCCCCTCTCCCAGAGCCCACGCCCCTCTCCCAGAGCCCACGCCCCTCTCCCTGAGCCCACGCCCCTCTCCCAGAGACCACGCCCCTCTCCCAGAGACCACGCCCCTCTCCCAGAGACCATGTCCCTCTCCTTGAGACCACATCCCTCTTCCTGATACCATGTCCCTCTCTGAGACCATATCCCTCCCTCTATAACCATAGTACTCTTTCTGAAGCCCTGCTCCTCTTGGAAGCTATGCCTCTCTTTCTGGAACTGTATCCCTCTTTCTTTTCCAGGAAACCAGGTCCTGCAGCAGTAGGGAAAGGAGAAAATCCAGGAATACTTTGGACACTCAGTTCCTTCTAAAGTGCCAAGAAAAGCAAATGTGACCGTCCCTGGCTTCTCTGGCAGTTCTCTCCACTTTTGGTCAAGTTACTCATAGCTGTCAAGGTGGACAATAGCTACCTCTGAAATCACAACTGCAGAGGGAATGGGCTTACATGATAAACAGTGCCAGGAGGAAGCCGGGGATATGACCAAAAGAAAGAGCCAGGACAAGAAATCAGGCCAAAGAACAGGACAGAGCCTAGCCAGATCCAGACACAGCAGCATCTGCTTCCTTACAATGAATTGTTTCAATTAAATTTTTTGAAGAATCAAAAGACACAGGAGGCCAGATGCCATAATTTAAGACAAAGTGGTAGCTAGAAAGGCCAGTTCCTTACTGAGAAAGACTGTATATTGTTTTCATTATCTGTTCATATGTGCTCTGTTTTCCCATAAAACCCAGAGCCCATTTCAAAGGGTGAAATTTGTATGTCTGCAGACCATTGATATGGAAGCTATTTGTGCCAGTTAGAAATGCAGTCAGCTGCACATAAGAGAAAAGCCTGACAGGCAAGGCCTTCAAGGATAATGATTTATTGGTCTTATGCAGAAGCAGTCTGGGTCAGCAATCTGGGAACAGCTCAGGAGTCCAGCTTTTCTTTTGGCGTCACAAGCCTTGCATTTCAGACCTCCATCTTCAAGCTTCAAGATTCCAAGGCAGCTGCGGCTCTTTCAGTCAGCACCTTGACATTCCAGGCAGAAAGAAGAGAAAGAACCCTAAGTGGATAACGTTTGTCTCCAGAAAGCAAAAACTTTTCCCCAAGTCTTGAGGCTGCTCTTAGCTACAAGGAGTCTGATATACTTTCAGCTGGACATAACCATGCCTGCATACACACAGAAACACAGACACAGACACAGACACAGACACACACACACACACACACACACACACACACACACACACACACACCATGGTGTTACTACTATAATGCGCCTTTATCACGGCCCAGCTGAGGAGCTGTGCAGCTGAGCTGGCCACAGTGGTACAAGCACACACAGCAGCCTGGAAACCCCCTGTATCTGCCATCGAGTGTGAGTCTGTGGGGCTGCTGACATCAGACGCCGTGGGAAGAGCCCAGCAGCATATGCCAGTACCCCAAAGTCCAACAGTAATAACTTTGCACATGAATTAGTCTTGTCTACACCTCAGATTTCCTTGGCAGAGGTGGAGCTGTCTGGTGGGGTGAGGAGGCTTATGGCAACAGGTGCAGTGTGTGTTTTGTTCTCTTCCTCCTCTGCACAGGACTGGCCACTGGCAAGTATTGTTTTATACTTATCTAATTTCCAGTCTCACTAAAAGCAACAGCCGAGCAGTTTTCAACAGTGGCTGGGGTAGCTGCCATTCCTGTTTATTGAGTGCCTCCTCCATGTCTATATGTGCTGGATGTGTTTTACTCTTTAGAACCATCACATTGTGGTGTTACAAATGAGTAGCTGGCATTCTCCTCCACCAGGGTGTACCATATGGTGAAAGAAAGAAAATAATAATTAGCTGTTTGTGCCTAAGGTTCTCTTTTTTTTTTTTTTTTTTTTTTTTTTGGTTTTACGAGACAGGGTTTCTCTGTTGTAGCTTTGCACCTTTTCTGGAACTCGCTTTGGAGACCAGGCTGGCCTCGAACTCACAGAGATCCACCTGCCTCTGCCTCCCGAGTGCTGGGATTAAAGGCGTGCACCACCACCACCCGGCTTTAAGGTTCTCATTTTTAAAAAACCTAGAAAAGCAAGAAATATCATTCAGCTATGGTCAAAAGGGGAATTAAAACTATAGTGTATGAGCCATCACAGGACAACAGAACCATGACTATTAAAGTTAAAACCTTTCCTTTTTATTTAAACAAAAAGGGGGAAATGTTATGGAATAGAATATTTGTTTAACTATGTAAAGATGTGTTGCTTTTGTTTATGCTGCATTTGTTTAACTATGGAAAGATGTGCTGCTGTTTTACCTTGCCTGCCTAAGGCACCTGATTGGTCTAATGAAAAGCTGAGCAGCCGGAAGCTAGGCAGAGGAGGTATAGACAAGGCTGGCAGGCAGAGAGAAAAGGGGAAGCAGCCAGCCAGGGGCCAGCCAATTGGGGACCAGCTAGCCAGGGGCCAGACAGACAGACAGACATGGAGGAAGCAGGAAAGCAGGATGAGCAATATATAGATGAGGTAAACAAGCCTTGAAGCAGCACATAGATTAATAGAAATGGGTTATTAAATTGAAAAAAAAAAAGCTAGCTAGAAACAAGCCTATGCTAAGGCTGAGCATTATAATTAATAATAAGTCTCTGTGTCATGATTTGGGGTCTGGTGGTCCAAGAAAGCGTGATACACATCACAGAGCAACAGAACTATCACAGAGCAACAGAACCATCACAGAGTAACCAGCAGAACTTTCCCACCCTGGTAAGAGAAGCAGTTACACTCCTCCCACAGCTATGCATTTGCCACCAATTCAGTTCACAGATCACTCAAAGAAAGAAGTGTGCTCAGTGGTCCTATCCTGCCTACCCAGTCCCCTCCAGACAGACTCTACCTAACTCTCAACTCCTTTCTGTAAAGGGCTGCTGCAGGAACTGGATCATCCCCTTGAAGGATAGGCCAAAGGTTATAATTCTTGGGTAAGTTGCTCAGGGTCACCTTTTATGGTCAGTGGAGCCCAGGTGTGAAGCCTTGGACACCATATCTGGAGTCCTTTGCCCTATCTCTAAGAGAAGCTTGTGGCCCAGCATAGTGTGCAAAGGAGACAGCAGGAAAGCATTGTGATGGCATTGAAGCACCAGAGGATCAAGGTGTCCTGGCTCAGGCTTGACTTTGGAGATAGTAGTAGCTGATTTATTTTGTGCTCCCAAGTCACAGGGTTTCACTGTGGGATGCCATGGTGGTCCATATCCCATGAGAGAGAATATCATTGTTCTCTGTATGGAATATATTTCTTTGGGCAGTCAAGCAAATAGCTGGACTAAAAATCCTCCCGAGTCCCTTACATGACAACTCAGGACAACCTGCCCTAAGCAGATGCCAGAGCTGGGAGTAGGCTTAGGAACCCAGTAGATGGGGTGAAAAACCTGTTTCTCCACTAGTATATAGGGGCAACTACACAGTCCTCAGGGGTGATGGTGAGGCCTGGAAAAGCAGATGGTATCTGGAACACAAAACGGTACTGAGCAAGCTTGGTGAGCACTCCTGATCTTCCAGCAGGAATAGGAGGATCCCAGAGGAGACCCCTGCCCCCAACTGTAGGGAGTTAGCAAGGTAAAGCAGGCAAAAGTTGTTCTTCCTTCAGAAGCCAGCAAGATATGGCCTGGAGGGACGCTGGTTTCTGCAGGAAGCCCCTACTCTCTCAATGAGTCACTGGAGAGTCAGACCTTGTGTCCTTCCTCAGCCCTGCTGCAGCAGCCCAGAACAGAATTTTCAGAAAACCATTTACCCAGCTGGAGACAGGACATCAAGATAAGAAAAAGACCCAGAAACAGCTCCTTGCAAAGCAGCCATCATCCAGAGGCTAAATACACTCTTCAATAAAAATGCACAAAAATACTGTTTTTCTTTGTTTATACCATCTAGCGTGGACTGTCGTTGTGTGAGAGACACATTACCATAGCTGTGACTACCCTCTGAGCATAGACCTCTCTTCTTTCACAAAATGTAATTACCCCACTCTCCATGCTTTTAGCCAAAGATAAAGTTGTAACAATTTAAAAGGTCAAAGCCGAGATCAAACTGTGTGTGTTTTAATCTCAAAATTTAAAAAAAAAAAAATGTAAATTGGGCCCAAACTTCAAAAATAACAAGCCTCGTGGGTAGACTCTATATTCATGGAAAGTTTCCTGTGACATGCCAACCACCTCTCGGACAACATGCCTTGTATCTGAGCAGCAGATGTCACCTCAGATGAGGTGTCTGCTGCGGAAGTGAATGCTGACGCGTCACAGCAAAGGAGGAAGCGAATGGAATAGAAAGATCACCAGTTCCCCAGCCCTCCACAGCTGAAATCAACACTGTCCCCAGCATGATGACCATGACAATTTATCTGGACAATATTTGAAATAAATGCCTTGGTATGTTCATATCGATCGCACTTATTTTTTTGCTGACAGAAATCGCATCTGCTAACTCCATCCCTGGGTGGGGGGCTGGCTTCGGGGATGATAAATTCCACCAAAGGGCATCATAAACTGTCCTGAAAAACGAGCCCCACTTGCATGGAAACAAAATGCCTTCCCTTCCACATGGCTGTTCTTCAACAAGAAATAATGAAGGAAAACAGAGCTGAAGTGTGCACCGCAATTCTTAATGGCATTTTAATAGTTTAAATTAGGAGCAAAAGGCCTCTCGGCATGTGGCTTTGCATAAACATTGCCCTTTCGTGATATTAATTGGGGTAGGGAGAGATGTCAGATGGCAGACTTCCGCTCAGCTCCCACGGTGCAGCAGCTGAGGTGCGCAGAGTCCCCTCAGAAGTAACTAACAGCCAGCCCCCAAATTTCAGAGGAAAGCAAACCCTATGAGCATCCACACACACGGTGGAGTGACTTGAGTGTGACATGCATACATTGCCGCGTGTGTGTGTGTGTGTGTGTGTGTGTGTGTGTGTGTGTGTGTGTGTATCTTAGCAGACACAATCTGACATGAATCACGTGACTCTTCTTGGCCACTACAAAGACAGTCAGCAGAATAATAAGATTCCATAAGAGATAGCCACCAAGGCCTGAGAGTTGTCAATTAGAAGATGTTCCCAAGACTCCACCATGCCAGCAGAGAAAACAAGATCAGTTCTGCTTTGGAGAGTGGAAGGTTCTATGTTCAGATCCACATGAGTATTGTAGACTTGTTCTAAGGCAGAGTCTCCATACTGTTCCAAAGCCTGTAAGAAAAGGTTACATGCTTGTAACCTTTGTGAGTCCTCATGCTAGTTCCTAGAGTCTGGAAAACAAGTCAGCACTGTAATCCCAGCACTTGGAAGACCAAGACAAGAAGAGTCCAAGTTTGAAGCCAATATAAACTACACAGTGAATTTTGGAGCAGCCTGGACCACATCATGAAACTCTCTCCAAAAAAAAAAAAAAAAAAAAAAAGAAGAAGAAAGAAAAGAAAGAAAAAAATTAAGGCCTTAGAGAGATGGCTCAATGTGTAAAGGTGATAATCATGTGATTGTGAAGACCTGAGTTCGGATCCACAGAACTGGAGTAGAAGCTAGACATCTACTCAAGTATCTGTAACCCCAGCATGCCTATGTGGATGGGAAGTAGAGACATAATCCCCAGCACTCGTGGGCAATTTAGCGTGGTAAGTAAAGTGGAAAAGCATCAGAGAGACCCTGTGTCAGAGGTAGAGAGGGAGGGCTGACATTTGACTTCTACACATATGCCATGACATATGTACACACACACACACACACACACACACACACACACACACAAATGCATACAGACACACACAATAATGAAACAGAAAGGAAGGAAAGCAGTGAGAGAAAGGGAAGGAGGGAGAGAGAGTACAAAGAATCAGGTAAAGTATGAATCATAAGGAAAATAAAATTAGAAGATGGATGTGATGGTGTACATTTATAATCCCAGCACTCAGGAGCCTAAAGCTGGAGGCATGGCACAAATTCTCAAGGCAAGCCTGGGCTACAGAACAAGACTCTTTCTCAAAAATGGGAGGTATGGGAAGGGAAAGGAAGGGGAGGGGAGGGGAGGGGCTCATGATGGCCACAGGAGCTCCCTCCCTTTATAGGTCATGTAGGACATGTAACTTGAGCTGAGGACTGTCAGCTTCAACAGCAAGAGCCAACTGGA